GTGAGGGGTGCGAGGGTGTTGTTGGGCGTCAGCCCCGCGCAACACCCGCAAGTACCTGCAGCAAGTCAAAGGTGACGACGCCGTCCTGGTCCACGTCCATCGCTTGGAAAAAACCTGCGGTGAGGGAAATTGTGGGGGAAAATGGTTATTTTTTCTTTTTAGGGGGGAAAGTGGGGAAAACGGGGCAGGATTTTGAGGGGGAAAGGTGGGAAAAATTGCAGAATTTTAAGGGGAAAAAGTGGAAAAACGGGGCAGGATTTGAGGGGGAAAGGTGGGAAAACCAGCAGGGTTTAAGGGCAAGAAGTGGAAAAATGGGGTAGGATTTAAGGGGAAAAACAGGGGGAAAATAATTTCTGTTAAATCCTGTTTTCCAACTTTTCCCGTTAAACCCCGCTGCTTTTTTACACTTTTTAACAGAAAAAAGAAGTTTTTTCCCACTTTTCCCCTTAAAAGCTGTTGGGTTTTCCAGCTTTCCCCTCGACTCCTGTGGGTTTTTTCCAACTTTTCCACAGAACTCAACAGGAAAAGCGGGAGAATAAAATCTTTTCAATCCATTTTTTCCAACTTTTCCTGTTAAATTATTTGGGAAATGTGGCAAAACGGTGGGTTTTTCGGGGTAAAACGTCGCTCACGGAACATGGTCTCCAGGCGCACGAGGCAGCAGACGAAGTTGTCAAAGTCGATGGCCAGGTCGGGCTCCGCGTAGCGGGTGATGATCAGCTCGTGCAGCTTTTTGTTCAATTTATAGCCTTTTTAGGGAAAAAAAAAAAACCAAACACAAACAACTTAAAACCGCCGGAGGCGTTAACGAATCTGGGGGTGATTTTTCCCCCCCCAAAAAAAGGGGGTCATCCATGAGGAAAAAGACCCCAAAACCCCCCGATTTCACCCCAAAATCCCCTCCCGGACCCACCAGGTAGTTGCGGATTCTGTTCCACAACACGTTGAACTCCACCAGCCCCAGCTTCCCGTTGCCGTCTTTCTGCGGGGCGGAAGGGGGTTAAGGAAAACGGGCGGATTTGGGGGAATCCCCCCCCCAAAAAAGAACCCCCAGTCGCCGGCGGCGGAGGATACGTCCATGAGGTTGACCATGCTGCGGCAGGACTCCGTGCTGAAGCCTTTGGTCCGCAGATCTTTATCTGCAAAAGAATCCGGTCGTTATTTGCGTTAACGAGTTCAACCGACAATTAACGGCGTTGGGGATTTGGGTGTTTGTCGTGGTGAACCCCCCGCCAAATCCCGCCCGGCGGCTCACGTTTGCCGATGATCCGGTTGAGGATGGTCTGAAGCTCCCTGACGCTGATCTCCATGTCCTACGGGAGGGAGAAGACGCGGTGTTCTCCGGTGCCACCGGTGCCGCCGCCGGTCCCGGCACCCCCTCTTACCGCCCCCGCCAGCTGCTTGAAGAGTTGCTTGAAGTTATCATCGATTTGGCTTTCGGAGAGCACTTTCTGAGGGAAAAAACGGCTGGTTTGGTAAAAAGGCGACACCTCGGCACCCTCCGGCGTCATCCACCCCCCTCACCTCATCCGGGAGCGTCGCCTGGATCTTGTCATCCATTTCCCTACGGAGAGAACAAAGGAGAGTTTGGCCTCCGGAGTCGCCGGGGATCGTTAGCGCTAACGAGGCGTCTCTTACTCGGTGCCGGCTTTCTTCTCGGAGAAGACGCGGAGAACGAAGTCTCCTTCCTTGTTGGGTTCGAAGGTGGAGGGCACCACGATGTACTCGCCCGGCGGCAACCGGAACCGGGTGCTCACCTCCCGCAGGTTGATGAACTGCTCCGAACGGGCGCGCGAGGTGTTGGCCAGGAAGAAATCCCGCTTCAGGTGGACGCCCGATTTCCCCACGTACTGCCGGAATGGGGTAAAAAAAACACCCAAAATAACCCCAAAAAACACCCTTCCCTCTTTCCCGGTTCGCCGTTACGGTGATATCGTCACCGTACCCACCTCAGGAGGAACCTGTCGGGAGAGGAGAGGAGAGGAGAGGTCAGGGCGCACGGTGGCGCCGGTTGACGCCACCGGTTGACGCCGCCGGTTGACGCCGTTACCTCATAGACGGCGAATCCGATGGTCTCCATGTCCTTGCCGTAGCGGCGTTCGCGGCGCCGGTGCTTCTGCATCAGCGCCAGCAGGAAGCTGCAGCCGGGCTCGCGCCTGCCGCCCTCGTCCCCGTCGTCGTCCACCTCCTCCAGTTGGATCTTAAACTGCGGGTTGATCCAGAAAGTGGCTGAAAAAAGGCAAAAAGAGGTCAAAGCGATGCCAAAAACAGCGGGTTTGAGGTAAAACTCCCCCGCCGGCGGCGCCTACCGGGGTAGTTCCTACAACCGCCGGCCGTGCTGCCGCGCCGCCACGTCCCGTCGTAGAGCCGCGTGTTCCACTTGCGGAATTTGCGGGATTGGAGAGCGTCCGGGGTGAGGTTACAGATCTCCAGGCGGGTGAATTCCCGGAGGAAATCCCGGAAGGACATCCTGGAGGAAGAGGAGGCGCCGAAGGTCGGGAGGGGAAGTCTTCCCTCTTTTCCCAGCGCAAAACGGTTGGGAAAAGGGTTTTTTGGTTTTTTTTTCATCCCTCTTCGCTTACCAAAATTCACCGTCCTCCATTTTCACCATCAGCTGCTGCCTCAGCGCCGGCTCCACTGCGTTCCACTCGGCCGAGCTGCGGGCGGCAAACGGATCTCAGCCCTGCGGCCGAGCCGCTTCGTTAATTAACGCGAACGAAGCCTCGTGCTCCTCACTTGTCGCTCCAGGGTCCCGTCCACTCCACTTCTCCCCAGGGATTGCGCATACGGATCAGGCCCAGGGATTGCCCGCGGTAGTTGATCTGCGAACGGGCGCCGTCAGGGCTCGGGACCCAAAAAGCGCCGTTTTCTCCCCAAAACGGCGTCGCCTCTCACCTGCTTGGCCCCCGTCACCGAGTACGCGTGGCCTTTCACCAGCTTCTTGAACGTCACCGCCTCCATGTCAAAGGCGCTCGTTATCTGCGAGGAAACGAGACGGCGGCGGCGTTAACGGCCCGCGATACGGCGCCGATTCATCCGGTCTCCCCCAAAATGGTATTTTTTAACCCCCCAAAAAAAAAAGTCCCTCACGTCGATGGAGCAGCCGAGCAGGGATCCGCGTTCCAGCGCCTTGAGGATGATCTGGTAGAGATCGGCGGGGGGCTTGCGCAGGTCGTACCACTCCGTCACGCCGCCGGTGAAATCCTCGAAACCCTCCGAGGTGCTGCCGCCCGACAACGCCTCGTAGCAGCCGTTCACCCTGAGGGGCGGGAAGAGAAGATTTGACCGTTTCGGGGCTTTTTTACCCCAAAAAAACGAAGCGGAGGAAGAGGGCGAGGGCGTACTTGGCGTAGGCTTTCTCCAGCAAGGCGCTCCAGAACTCGGTGCCCTCGGCGGAGTGGACGAAGAGCAGCTTGCCGTCTTTGGTGGGCAAGTAGTCGTCCACCACCACGTCCAGCCACTCGCCGAATTGCCAAATCTGGAGGGAGGGAGGGCGAAGAGGAAGAAGAGGCGGCGAGGCCGAAGACAAACCCCCTCCCCCCCTTTTTTTTTATCCAGGGAGGGGCGTTTTGGGGAGAAAACGCCCGGTTTTGGGTCCTACGGTGCGCATCACCGCGAGGATGAGCCGTCGGGGAAACGGCGGTGGCACCAACCCAGCGGAGGATGAAGCCGGCAGCCATTTTGTGGTGGAAAGAGCCTGGTTTGCCCCCAAAATGATGGAGGAGGACCCCCAAAATGGTGGGGGAACCCCCAAATGGTGGAGGAAGACCCCCAAAATGGTGGAGGAGCCCCAAAATGGTGGAAGAGGAGCCCCAAAATGGTGGGGAACCCCCCAAAATTTGGTGGCGGAGGGGTTTAAGCGTCTCACCTGGAAGTGGAAGATGCCGGCGTAGCCGTGCTGGAAGCTCTGCCCGTGCGGCACCACGCGGTGAAGGATGGTCTCGTTGAGCGTGAGGGAAGCGATGGCCGCCAGCAGCCAGCAGTCACCTGCGGGCACCGGTTTTGGGGTAAAAAAAGGCAATTTTCTGCTCCCTCAACACCTGCCTCTAGGGTTTTTTAACGCTCGGCGGGTGTTTAGGGGGAAACCGCGGCGAGCTCTGCCGCAACCCGCCCCCGGCCCCACCCCGCCGGCGAGAGGTTCGAACCGGCGGCAACGGCGCGCAAACGAGCCTCGATTCGGCGCAAGCGCCTCCCCCCCGCCGCCAAATCTCCGATTTGAGGTGAAAAATTAGAAAATTGGGAAAACCCGAGCGCCGGCGCTCCCTACCCAGCGCTCCCTGGCAGATGTCGGTGCGCGTGGCCCCGTCCACGATGAACTGCGGGCGCGGACACAGCTCCTGCGGGAAACGCCGCCCAATTCGGTCACCAAAATTCACCAAAATTTGGATATTTACGGTTCCGCCTCGCCGCCGCCGCGCCGGGAGGAGTTTGCCGCGAGAACGCCGAGGGAATTGAAACCCAACCGGGAGGCCGAACGCGGTTAATTAGCGCCCCGTCGTTAAGACCCCGCGGCTCACCGTCGGTCTCTTCCATTGGACGCCGTGGGTTTTGGCGGTGCCGGGACCGAGCTCGCGGAAGCCGAGGGAAGCGGGAGCCGGCGGGGAGGTGTGGCCGCGGCAGAGAGGGGCGGCACCCCGGCCCTCCTCCACATTCCTCCACCAATCGCTCGTAGTCCTGCCCCAGGTACCGCACCGCGTTCTCGTGCCGACCCAACCCCAACGCCTTCGCCCGTTGCCGTTGCACCTGCGCCGAAACGCCGGTGCAGTACACCGGGACGATCGGTTCCTCCGCCATCCTGGGGAGAAAAGAGGGGAAATGAGTAAAATCGGGAAAAACGAGCGGTAAAAGTTGGGGTTTCCGCCTAATTTTCTTCCTCGCCGCCGCGGTCGTGCCGCGACGGCTACGCTCTCCCTCGCGCCGGGGCAAAGTCGGGGAGCGCCTCCTGCCCCCCTTAATTAAATCAAAGGGAGGGGAATCCAACGCTAATTAGCGCGGCCTCGTTTGCGGGGCGCTGCGTACCCCAACCCTGCGGGGCGTTTTGGGGGGATTTGGGGAGTTTTGGCGAGTTTGGGGTCTGGTTTAGGATCCCGACCGCGAGCGGCGTGAAAAAAAAAGCGGGATTCTGCCCCAAAAAACCCCGCGCAGTTGGGTTTCGTTAAACGCGAGCGCTGAGCCCGCCGAGATCTTATTTTGGGGGGGGAAAAGGCTAAAAACCGCCAAATTTCCCCAAATTTGCGGTCGGGGTGATTTCGGTGAGGGAAGCGTGGCGGCGTTTTGGGGTGAAAAATGGGAATTAAGGGGGCGGGGAAGCCCTCCCGCCCTCGCCGCCCCCCCTCCGCGCCAGCTGCTCGCTGCCTGTAACCCGAGCGGGCCCAAAATAGCCGGGTTTCACCTCGAAACGGCCCCTCGGTATTAAAAAAACAATTAAATAAATAGATGAATTATGGCACGGGGCGGCTCCGAACGCTGACGAAAACGAGGGGAAACGGCCCCAAAACAAGTCCGGCAAGTTACGGCGTGTGG